TTTTTATAATTATAAATAAGCTAATTAATCACAATTTTCGAATAAAATTACAAAACTGATGTCCGCCTAAAATCAACTTTTACTACTGGATCTGACTGAAACTGTTTTTTACTACTGAATCTTACTAACTGAATTTTCTTTATAATTAATTACTAGTAATTGTAAGTTAATTGAGGTATAAATTATTATTTATATAATTCTAAAATTTAAAAATTTATTAAAATCAAAAAATTTTACTACAATTACAAGAATTCTGTCTGACTAAAATCAATGTTTACTACTGACTCTGATCATAACTAGCTTTCACTACTGAATCTTTAACATAGAATTTTTAAAAATTAATTATTATTGTAGCTACAAATAAATTACTTAAAAATAAAAAAAATTTGAATAAAATTAAAAAATTTTTCTGACTAAAATCAACTTTCACTACTGGGTGTGACTGAAACTGGTTTGTACTACTGAATCATAATAACATAAGTTTTATAATTAAGTATTATTATAATTATAAATAAGCTAATTAAACACAATTTTAAAATAAAATTACAAAATTTGTGTCTACCTAAAATCAACTTTTACTACTTGGCCTGACTGAAACTGTTTTTTACTACTGAATCTTGCTAACACAATTTGTTTATAATTTATTACTAGTAATTGTAAGTTAATTTATAAAATATTTATATAATTATACAATTCATGAATTAATTAAAAATATAAGATTCTACTAAAATCACAAGAATGCTGTCTGACTAAAATCAATTTTTACTACTGCGTCTGACCTCAACTGGTTTTTACTACTGAATCATAAAAATTGATTTTTTTCAAATTAATTATTATTATTATAGTTATAAATAAGTTAATTAAAAATGTAATATTCGAATGAAATTAAAAGAATTCTGTCTGACTAAAATCAGCTTTCACTACTGGGTCTGACTGAAACTGACCTTCACTACTGAATCTTAAGATAATTTTTTATAATTAAGTATTTTTATAATTATAAATAAGGTAATTAATCACAATTTCCGAATAAAATTACAAAACTGTTGTCTTACTGAAATCAGCTTTTACTACTGGGTCTGACTGCAACTGGTTTTTACTACTGAATCTTGATAACAGAATTTTTTTTATAATTAAAAAATATTAATTAAAAATTAATTTCTAAACGATCTTTATAATTGTATTATTTACAAATTAATTAATAAGGAATTAAGTAAAAATATAAGATTCGACTAATATTACGAAAATTCTGTCTGACTAAAATAAACGTTTACCACTGGATCTATCTTTAATTGGCTTTTACTACTGAATTTTAAAAACAAAATTTTTAAAAATTAATTATTATTATAATTCAAAATAATTTCATTAAAAAAATATAATATATAAAAATTAAATTAAAAGAATTCTGTCTGACTAAAATCAGCTTTCACTACTGGGTCTGACTGCAATTTGTTTTTACTACTGAATCTTGATAACAGATTGTTTTATAATAAAAAAATGTTAATTTTGCATTAATTTATAAATAATCTAAATAATTATATAATTTACAAATTAATTAAAATAGAATTAAGTAAAAATATAAGATTTGACTAATATTCTGTCTGACTAAAATCTACTTTTACTACTTGAAATGACTGCAACTGGCTTTTACTACCGAATTTTATAACAATAGAGTGAAATTTTAATTAACTTATTAAATATAAATTAATATTCTTAATATAAAATGCCGATAATTGGAAAAAAATTGCAATTTTAATATTAAGAATTTATTACTCGGTAGTACTAATTACATAACCGAATTGATTTTATTAATTTCTCCGGGTCAAATTTTTATTGACGGAGAAACGTTAAAAAAACTAATTTGCTTTTAATTTTATTAATTAATATTAATATTAGTATTAATATTAGTGTTAATATTAGTATTAATGATAATTCAGTTTTGCTTTTAATTTTTCAAAATCTCGACTCGCACTCGCAGAAAAATGTTATTTGATATGTTTCCCAAAAAATTGAAACAGTACAATTTGTCTGCAAATAAATTTTTACCTACATCGATGGTTACTTAATCAAATGAAAAATATTTGTGAGCGGAAGCAATGTATTACGCAAGTAACCACTTAATCTTAACTCTCACACTTGGAGACACTCAAGGCGCGATGCCAACTTTAAATCTAATGTTCAAGTCAAAATACGACATTTCTCACAAAAGCACTCCTTTTTCATGCTTCATAAATTAAAATGATAACTCTCTCCCCCTCTCAATTACATTTTATCCAATTGTTGTCTCATTCAGGTAACTTTATAAACTCAACGCTAATAATATCAACTCTTATTAAATAGTTTCACATTAGGTAAAAATAGTATTTCAATTTTTAAATTTTATTTTTAAATTGATCAATTCAATTTTATGTAATTTTTAAAAAGGGATTCAGTGAAAGTCGATACGAATTTACATAATTGACTCTCAGTTTAAAAAAAAAATATCGACAATCTAAATTACACTACATCGCTTATAAATATTCGACTAGAAATTTTATAAAACAAATATAGATTTTCCGATAATTTTTTCAATTTAATTAATTATTATCTATTCCATGAAAATATTGCTGAGCTGATATTTTTCCTTAAATAAACGAATAAGAATTTTAAAATTATTCTTTTGATAAAACTGCAAATCACAGTTATTATTTTACGGAATATTAGGTAAAAAACAGGATTCTAATTTTTAAAAGGAAATTCAGATTTAAAAAAAGGAATTTTTCAAATTACTTAACTAATTATTGTAACGCTACTTTTATTTTAAAACTCTATGAATTTTACTATATCCGAAATAAATTTCAGTAAAAATTAGTAAACTTTATTTCGGACTTGATATAATTACTTACAAAATAAATAAAATTTAATATTAAAATAATGTATAAAGATTTTAAAGTTTCAAAGAAACTAAAATTTTTCCAAAGTTTGCAAAAAGTAGTAAATTTTTCTTCAAAATAACTAAACAAATTGTTAACTTCCAAAAAATGACAATTTTTGTACACTTTTTTTTTAAAGGGAGAATAACCGGATTTTTCGTGTTTTAGGAAATTTTATTAATTTAAGGTAATAAATAATTACTTACGAAATAAACTGCACACGAAATATTTTGTTGTTTAACTCACCTGAAACAAAATTAAAAGAAAATACTTTATATTCGAATTATTATCAGAAGAATAATAAAAAAAGAAACAAATATTAATTTCAATTAAATAATTCTGTTAATTCAATTTTTTTTAAAATAATTTTTTAAAAAGTTTTTTAAGAATTTTCAAATTCTTCTGTTTACAATTTAATTTTACGAAATTTCGATTATTCTAAAATTCTTTAATTAAATATATTAGAAATTAAAAACTTTAAATAATTAAACAAACATTCCATTAAACTTTTTGAAAATAATTTATTCTACAGAATTCTTAATTAAAAAGTATAAAGAGCTCAAATTTTCAAATATTTTAATTTAAAACCTTTTGAAAATTTAATTATTTGTAAAGATTTACGCTATAATCCTTTCAATGTTCAATTATAATTTAAAATTTTAACTGAAATTCATTTTTAAATCAATATTTATTAGAAAATTCTACGAGAATTCAATTATTTAACTATAAAAATAAATATTTTATTAAATAATCAAATGTTTCTTAAAATTGAATTTTCATGAAGAATTTTATCAACAAATTTTTAAGTAATTGAAATTCTCTTGACAAAGTTTAATATAATTTTTAAGAATAATTTCAATTTTCCGAGAAATTTGATGAAAATTTTATTAAAAATAATTGAAATTTTGCCAAGAATTTTATTAAAATTTTTGAAAATAATTGAATTTCGAAGAAAAATTTTATTATTTATAAAGATAATTGAAATTTTGAAGAGAATTCTTTTAAAATTTTAAAAATAATTGGATTTTTGCGAAGAATTATATTATTTTTGAAAATAATTCAATTCTTGAGACGAATTTTATTAAAATTTCTTTTTAAATAATTTCATTCTTTTGTGGAATTTAATTAAAATAGTAGACATGGAAAATAATTGAATTTTGACAAATTTATGAAATTGAATTTCTTGAATTTCTTTGATAAATTTTAATAAAATTTTTAAGAATAATAACATTTTTCGAGGAATTCCATTAAAATTATATTAAAAATAATTGAAAGTCTGACATAAGTTTTATTATGTATTTATGAAAATAATTGAATTTCTATAAAAAAATGTTATTATTTATCGAAATAATTGAATATTAATTTATAAAAATAATTTGTAAATAATTGATTTCCTGGGGAATTTTTATTATTTATGCAAATAATGAAATGTTTGCGTAGAATTTTATTAAATTTTTGTTTAACTAATTGAATTCTTTTGGGAATTTTTATGAAAGTAGTAAATATTAAAAATCTTTGAATTGAGGAAAGTTTTAGTGATTTTAATTAAAATTCTTCTATAAATCCATTATTTTTAATAATCAATTAAATATATATTAAAAGAATTGACCTAATTTCAAAAGAATTTTAGTTATTAAAATTTTTTTTAAAATCTAGGTTTTTTAAAATTTCTAATTAAATTCATTTGAAACTGAAATTTTACAAAAATTCAAATCATAATCTTTTGTAGTTCCTTCTACTTATGAAAATTGTAAACGCAATTCTTTTAAACTTGAATTACATAATTTTGAAATATTTAAACAAAATTCGATTTCAAGATCAAAATTCCCTGACTTTTACAGGTTTTTTCAAGGTGTATAAAATTCTCTGACATTTCCAGGTTGCGTGGCAACCCTGTAAAATTAAAAAAATTAAAAATCTATTAAAATTTTAGAAAACAATGACTAAAAATTAGCAAAAATCCTCACTACCATGAATTAGTTTGATTTACAATTAATAATTGTAATAATTGTAAAAAAAAAACTTTTTCATTTCAAAGAAAAACAAAACCAAAAATTTCAGCCAATAACGAAAAGTTTCTTCTGCTTTCAGGTGTCGCCAGAAAATACAGTGTTTCATCAAATGCAACCAATCAATCCCTATGGCGCAATCATTGTTCCCAACAGAATTGGATTGCGAATACAAGCGGATGTAAAGCACCACGAACGCAGTGGTCGTAGTGAAGTCAAAATTCGTTGCATTGCAAAAGTGGGTTCGAAAAATTACGAGACCGAGAAGCGAGTTACAATTTATCAATTGGATAATCAAAGGTTGCGTGCCAGCGATTTACGCGGAGGTTCCTATTCAATTCGTGGCGAATTACTATTCACCATTATCTTACCAATTTTCTTGGCATTAATTTCGACGTGACCTGTACATTTCAACAATGCAATCAGTCGATTTCCCTTCTAGACAACGTGATGTCAGTATTAATTATGTACTCGTTCACGTCGGTTCAGTGTCAGTCGTCCGATCCTTCGTATATATATATATAAATAAATAAATATAAATATAAATATAAATATAAATATAAATATAAATATAAATATAAATAAATATAAATATTTATTATATTAATAAAAAAACAAGTTAAAAAAAAGAACATTTAAAATTAAGAGTTATAAATTTGTAAATGAGTCTCGAGTGTCGTATGAATGTCACAATTTGCGTAAATGTTACCAATAAGCGTATTAAAGCGTTTTACATGATGAGATAAGATTAAAAATTAAGCTCATAGTAATTTAATTAATTTATTCATTATTTATTAATTATTAAATATTAAATAATTAAATAATTATAAATTTAAATAGAAATTTATTTTTTCTATTTTTACAAACAAATTTAATTTTTCTATTCTCGAATAAAGTCAACTGGAGTCAACGAACATAGATTCAAAATAAGAGAAACAATTTTTTATAAACAATTTTCTTTTTTGACTGAAATCTACACTCAACGAATGCTTTTTTTTGTACAAACCTTTTTTTACTATATAAATACAAATTTTTTAGTTTTAAGCAAAATAAAATTTTTTCATAAAATATTTATTATTTATTTTTTATAATTTGTATAAATAAATATTTTTTTTTTTTGAGAGAGAGAGAGTGATGAATTCCATATCAAAGTGTGTCTTTTCGGTAAAAAAAAAAAATTTTTTGTCATATATAAACCGATTCTAGAATTATTATTCTTATTATTATTGTTATTGTAGGTATATACGTATATATATAGATATAATATACTTGGATGGTAATAATTCTCGTCAAAGCGAAAAATATTATTTAAAAATAAATTATTCAATCAATTATTCCAAAATCGTATTGGAAATTAATAATAATAGTATTGTTAAAAGAGTTATTATTTCCATCCAAATTTGTAAATAAACCGAAAAATAACTGATTTCTTCAGCGATCAATCTCATCGTGTATAAATATTTCGAAAAGAAAAACCTCTGAAAGTTAGTCAATCATTAAGAAGAAAGCGGCCAACGTTTTTCTGTCAATTTTCAATTGAATGTTAATAAATTTCTTCTTGTCAAACACTTCAGAAAAAGTATTATTACAAAAAAATAACCATTTACCTATAAATTATTTGGAAAAATTTTTTTTTTAATTCGAAAGAAAGCTAATTTTTCTCTAAAAAAAAAAAGTTTTTAATCAAATTTCCCGCAAGGAGTGAATTTAAATTTTCATTTATTAAAACAATATCAGGAGTTTAATTTTTCTCATCTTTATGAAATGTAAATGCAGCGCATAATTTTCAACTTTACGTTAAAAAAAAAAAGGAATACCAAAACTTTTTACCGTTTTCTAAATTTTTGTTTTTGCAAATTAAATTCTTCTTTATTTGAAATTTGTATAATTTGACAATTGAATGTAAAAATCGGCTTTTAAAAAAATAGCAAAAAAAAAGAAGAAGAAGGTATAAAAAAAAATCCTTCCATCTCTCAAGGAGAATTGCTTCTTGACCTAAATGGATGTCTTGCCAGTGATTTCTTTATCTTTTCTCCTCCTCTCATTCTATTTCTAAAGTCATCTTTTCTACTCGTGAAAATTATTTTCTGAAAATCCTGTCGCAGACACGACTCGTGGTCAAGTCAAGATGCGAAGTAGATGAATCAATAAGAAAGTCAGTCATGTCAAAACCATTACTCGATGTCCCACGAATGGAAGTTAAAGTGTTCGCACAAGACGGTAAAACGTTGGCCGGAAAACCGTGAAAGAATTCACGGATTCCGTTTTACAGTTCGCTCGGCTGCTCCTGACACTGAGACCGGAGATATAGAAGAATAAAATAGACAAGGGAGAAGTCGAGGTTTAAAACTTCTGGAATGAGAAATAGACGTCAGTTAAAAAAACAGAGGAAAGTGAATTAATTTTAAAAGAAACTAGTTATATAATGATACGAATAAAAAAAAATAAGGGACATACGACTCAATGAAAACTGAGAAAAAGAAAAAAAATAGAATTTTATAATTTTCATAAAATACTAACTCTCGAAATAATTGCTCATTTTACTTTTTATTTTTACTCAAATTAAAAATTATTTTTCTAAACTAATTACACTGAGAAAAAAAATTTATTTGATTTAAATAACCGATTACTAAAAATTTTCTAATTTAAATTTTTGTTGAAAACACTAAAAAAAAATTCTATTTTGAAGAAATTACAAATAATTGCAGAAATCCAATTATTTTCAAAAATAAAATAAAATTCTTCCTATAAAATTCAATTATGTTCGAAATTTGAAAAAAATTCTCGTAAAAATCCCAATTATCTTTATAAATAACAAAATTCTTGACCTAATTTCAATTATTTTCAAAAAATTTTCTACTTTCAATGATTTTTAAAATCTACTATTTTAATAAAATTTCCCAAAGAAAATTCAATTATTTAAAAACAATTTTATAAAAATTGTACGCAAACATTGAATTATTCTCATAAAAATAAAAATTTCACAGGAATTCAATTATTTTCATAAATAATAAATTTTTTTTAATGAATTCAATTATTTTCATAAAAAATAATTTAAAATTCTAAAATAATAATTGAATTAAAATGATGAAAATAATTTTGATAAAATTATAATAACAATATTCTTATAATATAAAATAATGATTTTATCTCTCAGTCATCTTTAATTATTAGAAAACATGAAGAAATCGATTACTTCAAATCGATATCTTCATGTTTTATAACAAATACTTTTATAAGTTGTTTAATTTAAAAAAGGTTTGAATTTGAAATTTTTGAATGTCTTAATTCCTATGGAAAATCCTGTTCCAAAAATAGGATTAAAAATAGAAATTGTGCAAATATTTCTCTTCTTCTTCTAAAACAAACGACAACTTTAGAGTGTGAGGGACAGAAAAAGTAAATGAATGAAAGAACATTCAAATTATTATAGTTAATTATCAAATAAATATTTACTTGAAAATTAATTTTTCTTTGAGTCAATTAATAAATGGTTCAATTCATATTTGCTTCAAATACTGAAATTATTATTTCAAATACAATTCTTTTGTCTTAAATAAAATTTATTTGATTCAAGTAAATATTTACTTGATAATTGTAAAGTAATCGGTTATTTGAATCAAACAAATTATTATTTTTCCAGTGTAGTTAACATGTGACTCGCTCCAAAGAAAGGTACCTCAGAAAAAGATAATTTTATGTTACGTTTGTGTTTTTACCTTAATTTCAATTATTAAAATATTTCAATTTCAATTATTAAAAAGTTCAATTTCAATTTATTTAAATTAATAAATTTCAATTTCAATTAATTTAAATTATTAAAAAAACTTCAATTTTCAATAATTTTTAACTAAACTTCTTCTCTAAATCAAATATTTTTAATTTTTTTGATTTTTCATTAAAATTCTTTAGAAATCAATTATTTTTTAATTTTGTATTTAAAATATTCGAAACATAAAATTGCTCTTCAAAACAATTCAATTATTTTCAAAAATTTTAAATCAATTCTTCGCAGAAATTCAATTATTTGCAATTTAATTTTAATAAAATTTCTCAAAAAAATCAATTATTTAAAAAGTAGTATAAAAATTTTTTAAATTCTTTGAAAGAATTCGATTATTATCAAAAATTTTCATAAAATTCTGTATAAGAATTCATTTATTTTCAATATAATTTTAATTAAATTCTTCGCATGAATTCAATAGAAAAAAAAATTAAATAAAAAATTCTAAGGTAGATAAGGAAATTTTTTTTGAAATAATTGCTTGTAGATAATTGAATTTTTGACAATATGTAATTGAAACTATTGAAAATAATTGAATTTTAAAAAATAATCATAAAATTTTTAAGAATTAATTTTTTAAAATAATTTTGAATGCACTTTTTTTGTTAAGCTAATTTTCATTTTGATTTTTTAGTAAAATTTTTGAGAATTCAATTTTTTTTCAATTTTTGCAATTATGAGTTTTTAAATTCGATTTTCAAAAATTTTGCATATAAAATTTAACAAAATTTCAATTATTTAAAAACTGTTTAATTATATATTTCAAAAATTTAATTATCTTAAAAAAATCAATCAAAAATAAGTTTCAAAATATATTTCTACAGTTATTTTTTACACTAGAAATATTGAAGTATTTTGCATTTTATACAAAAAAGTGGTATTTTGTTTCAATATTTCGCAGAAAAGTCGCATTCTTTTAAATAAGTCGAAAAAATTTTCCTTTTCTGAAAATTTTAAAAAAAAGTATAAAAAGTCGAACTTTTTGTCGATTATGTATTTTCATTTTTACTTTAAATTTCACTTTTACTTTATTAGATTTTTATTTTCGCTGTCGCTTTCACTTTGATTAGTGAAAATGCAAATCCATCAAAGTGAAAATGAAAATAAAAAAACTGTAAAGTGAAAAGAAAAATTTATCAAAGTGAAAGTAAAAATAAAAGTAAAATTAATCGATCAAAGCGAAAATGAAAGTCAAAGTAAAAATTAAATTACATAATCGACCCTAAAATTTTTTACTTCTTCCGTACTTTTCTTCGGAGAATGTCATAAATATTTTCTAAAAATAAATAATAAAAATATTTCCCAAAAGTAAATAATTAAAATAAATAATTTTAATTTCAATTTGAAGAATTTTTTGTTAAACAATTTTTTTTCGAGATCACTTTAGAAATTTTTCAAATAAATACAAAAAAGATAAAAAAAAATAACTAAAATCGTGATCGTTTATGTTCTCTCGAAAAAACATTATTTACACAGAAAAATAAAGGGGGAAATCTCCTAAAAATCGACCCTCTAATTGGTTCGGAAATAACATTTTTTCCCCTCCAAAAGACTAGACACAGAAGGGTTAGACAATTTCGTTTACATTTCTCATTAATTTCCCCAATTTTTGTATTTTATTTTCCCTTTCTTCTTAATTACCCATAAAAGGTCATTTTCCAAAAAGAAAACTACAGTGATCTCATTTTATCTCAATTTATCAATTTTCTCAATTTTCTAAATTATTCAAAATTATTATTTTATTCAATTTTTCCCCCAACAAAAAGAAAAGAAAATTTCCCAACAATCCCCTGTACATAAAATAGATATTATAAATAATTAAACTTTTTCATTTTCTCTCTTTTCATAAAAGAAAAAAAAATTTATAAGTGTATCAATTTTTATTGTTACAAAATGTAATCAACTAATTAGCATATTTTGTAAATTATTCAAAAGCTGGAGTAGAGAAATAGAGGCGAAAAATTAAAATACGAGAGATAAGAACACCAGAAAATATAATCGCAAAAAAATTTAAAAAAAAAAAAAAGAGAATGAAGTGTATAGAGAGGGGAAAAGAAGGGGTTTACAGTTGGGGGATGAGGGAAAAAAAATTGCAAGAAAATGTAATACAAAAATCGAAAATGTGTGTACATAGCTTGAAGAAGAAAAAAAATCCATAAGATGGGAAAAGACGTACGTAAATGTAATAAAGAAAATGATAAGAAGTAGCAAAGCGTGAATAAAAATATGCGACTTAACGCTGCGACTGGGTCTCGCTGCACATATCACACACCACCGCGACAAATTTTTCCTCTCAAAAAATAATTTCCAAAAAAGAACAACAAAAAAAAATAAAAAAATAAAAACTCATCTAGACACTTTCAACAGAAGCAAAAAAAAAAAAAAAAAAAAAAAAAAAAACATGTGCACATCGTAAAATAAATACACTCATATGGTTCAAGTCCGTAAAAATTCCGCTAGATTAAGTGCCAAAAGAAACAAGATTTCTCTCTCCTGTTATATATGAGTGGAGGAAAAAGAAGAATGAGTGGACAAAAATTTTTTCTTTACACAAAAATTGCCATTTTCTTATACAGTATTGTTAATATAATCATTGTTAATTATCACTGTTAATTAGCATTTTTAATTATCATTGGTAATAATCATTGTATTGTTCTCACATGAATGTTCCAGACAAAACGATGATTTACATTTTTTAAGGTGAGGATTCGGATATATTTCTAACTATATCAAGAAAATTGATTTAAATCTTCCATAAAACTATTTTTATAGTAATTTTTT